TTTCTTAAGTGAAACTAAATGTAATTATGACTGCTTAATCCCTATTTTCAGTAAAATGGGATTTGTAGGTAGTACGGGGTACAATGTCGATGCCAGCAAGGGAGGTTTGTTCCTATGCTGGTCTGCTAGGGTGTGTATGCAGGTGGTAGAAGTCCACCCTTTTGTAATCTTGTGCTATGTTAATCTAGTAGGAGACGTTAACTATTATATTGCCTGTGTGTATGGTAGTCCTTATGTGTGCAATCGTTTGGATGTGTGGAATAAGCTGCATGAGCTCATGAACAAATTTAAAGGGACGGAGGTTTGTTCTAGTTGGTGATTTCAATCAATTGGATTCTCTAGAACAAAAGTTGGGTGGGAGATAATATATTATGGGTTGAACAATTTTGTAAACTGGACAATAGATAATAAGTTGTCTAGTATACCCTTCGAAGGACTAAAATATACATGGTGCAACAATAGAACAGAGATCCTATCTATGAACAATTGGATCGTGCTTATGCTAATGATGAATGGAGGTTTAGCTTCCCAGATGCTTTTCTATGGAATCTACCTTTAATGTTCTCTGATCATGGGCCTATAATTCTTCAACTCAAAAGAAGAAGAGATAAAAAATGCACACCCTATAAAATGGAGGCTTGGAGCCTAAAACTGGATGAAGTACATGACTTAATCAGCTCTGCTTGGACACAAAAAGTTCAAGGATCACCCATGTATAGTGTTCAGAAAAAAATTTCAAGATGTTTAAGGGAAGTGAAACACTGGTGTCTTTGTTATAAAAATAGCCATGAAAATGGGAATTGGCAGAAAATCCAGGATGAATTCGAAGAAGCTCAAAAATATGACAAGCTCGTTGACCTACATTCGGGTTTGGAAATAGACAAAAGGAAACAGCTGGAGGAGGAAGCTACCAGGAAATGGCTATTTTGGAAGCAAAGAGCAAAATCTAAATGGGACATGTATGGAGACCAGTCTACGACTTTCTTTTTCAAGAGTTTGAAACAAAGAGCGGCTAGGATGGAGATTCGAGCCCTAAAAAATAACTAGAATGAATGGATCACAGAAAAGGAAAGCATAAAGAATCAGTTCTTCTCACACTTTGCACTCATGTATGCAGGACCTAAGTTATCCCAAGATGAGTTACAAGTTAGAGAGGGCTTGATCAAGCTTTGGTTGCAGGATCTCCCAATATTAAATTCAGAGCAAATCTTGTGGCTTGACAAGCCGTTTGTAGAAGATGAGATCAAAGCTGCAGTGTTTGCACCAAACCCCCTGAAATCTCCGGGCCCGGACAGCTCTCCACCTCTTTTTTTTTAGGAAAATTGGAGTGCTATAAAAAATGAGGTGATTAAGGGAGTCCAACACTTATTTTGAACAGGTAACTTGCTGAAAGAGACAAGCAAAATTTTATTACTCTCATACCAAAGGTGAACCAGCCTTCGAAGGTGGATGAGTTTCGACCCATAAGCTTGTGTAATTCCCTTTACAAGATCATCTCCAAGTGTATGGTAAACAGGCTCAAGGCAGTCTTGCCTAACTTAATTGGAGATTTTCAAAACGCTTTTGTACCAGGAAGGCTTATGACTGATAACTGCTATGTTGCTCATGAAATTCTCATTCAAGTGAAATCAAGAAAGAAAGGTGGAATCTTTGAAGCTATTCTCAAGATCGATCTAAGAAAAGCTTATGATCGAGTAGCTTGGGATCTGGTGGAAAATATCCTAGCTCAGATGTGTTTTCCCCTCTCATGGAGGAAATGGATCAAGCAGTGTATTTCTTCTGTTTCTTATGCAGTGTTGGTAAATGGAGAGCCAACAAAATTTTTCTCTCCAAATGCTGGCCTAAGACAAGGGGACCTTTTGTCACCATATCTGTTCATCCTAGTCATGGAACTCTTGTCAAGGAGACTGGCAAAGCTCCAAGCTAATGGAGAGTTAAAGGGTATAAAAGTAGGAAGAAATGCTCCTACAGTAAGCTACCTGTTCTTTGCTGATGATGCACTTCTTTGCTTCAAGGCACTCCAGATTCATGCAAGCTCATTAAAAGAACCTTGAATGAATTTTGCATTATCTCAGGAGAGGTGGTGAATGAGAAGAAATCCTCTATCTTGTTCAGTCCAAATACACCTTCCAGATTTGTGAGAATCATGAGAAAACCAATAAGAGTGAAGAGCTGCAATGAACTTGGGAAGTATTTAGGATGCCAAATGGATGTCAATGGAAGAACTAGCTCAAAATTTAGAGGGATTGTTGATAAAATAAATGAAAAAATTACTTCCTGGAAATTCTCAAAATTGAACCAAGCAGGGAAACTGGTACTCATAAATGGGATTCTGCTAGCTCTGGCTCAACATGTGCTAGCCTTATATTGGTGTCCAAGGTCAATTTTGAAACAAGCAAACTCATTGATCTCTAGATTCTGGTGGAGCTCGAATCTAGAAGGAAGATATCTATGTTGGAGGAGGATGAAAGTGCTACAAATGCATAAGAATGAAGGAGGTATTGGTCTGAAAAGTTTGGAGCATATAAATACAAGCCTCCTTATGAAGCAAAGCTGGAGAATGTGTAAGAATCCGAATATTATGTCAAGTAGATTGTTTGCAGCAAAATATGGAAGGGATCTTGTTAGTTTGGGGATGAGAACTTCAAATTTAAATAAAGGATCGTGGGCAGCCAAGAGCATGGTCAGAGCAGTTGACTCATTCAAATCTGGCATTGGAAAGAGGATAGAAAATGGGAGAAACACTTCTATTGAGCAATATATTTGGGTAAGGAAGGACAAAATCAAATTAAACGAAGGATTAAATCCCCCCCCCCCCCCCGGAGAAGGACTCTGACCTGATCATTTTAGAAAGAAGGTGGAATGCAAATCTAATCTGGAAAGCATTTGATGATAATACAGCTAGAGAAATACTAGCTATTCACTTGCCTTTGCAGTATAAGGAAGATGAGTAGTTTTGATGGACTCCAAAAAAAAAAGGAGAGTTCACCTTCAAGTCTGGATACTGGCTGCAAATATCAAACCAAAACGAATCTGCATGGAAGCCAAGGTATGTGAACTTTTGGAAGAAATGGTGGAAGACTCCAGTTCCTCCCAAGATGAAGATATTCTTTTGGAAATTGGCTCAATTATTCCAATAAGAGAGAATTTCGAGAAAAGGGGAATGCATACAGAGGCTCTTTGTGTGTTTTGCAAACAAGAACCTAAAAGTGTGGAGCACTTGTTCATGACTTGTGAGGTTTCAAGAAGGGTTGGCTAGCCTCCCTCCTTGGAATCAACTCATTTGCCACTAACCATTTGTCTTGCAGGGAATAGGCATCAAATTTTATTAGTTATTGTATGAATCTTATGCAGGATAATCCTTCACCATTTCTTCATTTTGTAGCTATTCTATGGGAGTTTGGCTGCACCGAAATGAGGTAATTTTCAAAGGTGTGAGTGTCAATCCTTCAAGAGTAATTGAGTTGGCACAGTTACACGCTCACAACTGGGGGTGGATACAATCAAGATTGAAGCGCAGCAAGATGCTGAATCTCAACCCGTGAAGAGTGGAAATCTCCCAGTGGTTTGGAAAACAGGAAAAGCTTCTACTAGGACAAGAATAAGCATTCTGGTTGATGCAGCTTGGAAGGGTAGCCGTGGAAATGGAGGAAAGTCATGGAAAGCAGCAATAGCTTGGATTGCAGAGGAGGATCACTTAGGACACAATCACGGATCTGCTAGAGTTTTTGCAGCTTCTCCACTCCAAGCTTAGGGTTTAGCTGTACTGGAAGCTATACATCGAGCCCCTGAGTATTACGCCAATGTAATCATCAAATCAGATTCTTTACAGTTGGTGAATGCCCTCGAGTCTGCTGATGAAGACACCAAGCTCTTAGTCCAGCACATCAGGAAAGAAGCTACAAAGAGAGACTATCTAGTATGCGTTAAAGTAGACAGAAGGAATGTGCAATTAGCACATGACTTGGCAGTTAGAACCAGATTATCTAGGTAGTGGGAACCCACTTTCTCTGTCTGCCTAAAAATATAAAAAAAAAAAGGAAGAAGAAGAAGTTAATACCCAAAAATGTAAGTCATCAACACTTCAATAGTGCGTCAATGTTCATTTTACAAAAACTAGTAAGTTGGTGGTTTTTGTTTGCTAAAATTCAAAGACCCAACTTCAATGGGAGAGAGGCAACACTTGATATTGATAATTAGATAGAAATGAATGTTGTAGATGTTGGCCAATTGATCAAGAAAATGACATAAAATCGAAAAAAAAAATATATATATATATATATATAGGGGTGAGATTTAGAATTAGGGTATGTTCATATTTACTAAAATGAGCTGAACCTGAACTGAATTGATTGGAGCTGAACTGAACTGAACTGATTGGAGCAGACTGAATTGAACGGAGCTGAACTGAATAAAGTTGAAATAAATATTTTATGAGAGAAGGAAATTAGGAGTTAAACTGAATAGAACTGAACTAATTGGAGCTGAGCTGAACTGATTGGAGCTGAATTGAACGGAGCTGAACTGAATATCGCTAAAATGAATATTTTATGAGAAAAGAAAATTAGGAGTTGAACTAAACTGATTAAATCTTAATTGAATAGAAATTAAGCTGAAGTGAATAAACCCTTAGTCAAGTTAGATTATCTAAAAAAGGCAAAAGCTAACGAAAGTCATCAAGGCGTTGGATAAGATAACTAAAAGTTAAAAGTTTAACTTGAAATAAACAATAAATACACCGATTGATGCGTGATTTTGGCATGCATTTCCAAATTAATACAATACCATTTTAGGAACTATTTTAAAGGATAATCTAATGTCCCAAATGTGTTTGTTAGCAAGATTTTTTTTTTTTTTTTAAAAAAAACATTTAGTTATTGAGTAAATTATGTTAGTACTCCGTACATACATTTAATTAGTTTTTGGTATAATTAGCAAGGTATATTTAGCATCTTACTCAAATAAGCATACATTAAAAAATTGTGCAAATATTGTGAAAGTTCCCAAAAAAAAAGGGTAGGGTATAACTGATGATACCCTTTTATTTAATTTTTAATAGGACAATAAGAATAAATACAAGAATTAGGTAACCTTTAGTTAGGTTTTTACTCCGTACCTAATTTATTTTTCTTGGCAAAAGAAATTTTTTGAGTGAATTACAAGTAATTACTATATTAAATGATTCCCAATTACCCATGCCAGGCATAGGCTTATCACCTAATCATTCAATATACAAGGATACATGTGTATCATTCTCTAGATCTTTATCACACTCCAAAGGAAATAAGTTTTGAATAATTATTACACACAAATAAATATTATGAAAGAAGGGCAGTTCTCATGGCATTTCATGCTTTTCATGTCACCATCCATTGGAAGGGATTTTAGTGCTTAACCTTAGGCTTCTTGACGATCATTACAGAGCAATGAGCGTGATGAGCACAGTAGTCACTTACGCTACCAAGAACAGCCCTGAAACAAAATCAAAGCCATTATCAGTTAATCTTCATGATCGATTTAACCGACAGGAGCTGCCTTTTCATTGAACTTACTTTGAAAATTTAGTTGGTTAACAACTTTGATATAAAGGTGCCATTACTATGGCAGTGCAATTGTAGGATAGTTTTCCAGGCATATATGGTGTTACATTTTATACATTTACATTGGCAAATTTGGCATATTTTGGCCTAACAAATTCATTTAGGTAAGCACCTACCTTTTAATTGCTCCATAGCCATGACTACCGACAACCAATATGGAAGCATGGTGCTTCTCAACAGCTTCACAGAGCACATTCCTAGCATCACCCTCCACAACTTCTACGGTAACATCATCCACCTGTAATAAAGAATATTGACATTGAATCAAGAGTGTAAACTGTAAATTTAACTAGTATTGAAGACTAAGATCACAACTGCTGAACTGCAAAGGAACTAAACAAAGGAATCATTGTATAGGAAGTTAAGGAAACTGAATAGTTTCCTAATTTAAGTTGGGCCTTTGAGCTGTTGTCTACTACTAAGTTAGGCCAGGCCTAACTTAAATTAGGAAACTATTCCTTAACTTCCTATACATTGTTCGCCGAAAATGTTTTTCCATCAAACTAAACAAAGCCTGAGTAAAATTTGTTTTCTATAATTATATGATACTTGATACATAAGGACAGGTAGATACAGATCGTTAGGAAATATATACAGCGAAGAATTAAGAAAGCATTGGTCATAAAAGCCAAGCTAATGCAACGCTAAAAATTTTCCCTTCCAGTCTTCCAGATGCCTTACAATCTTCTTGATTTAAAAATAGTTAAATAGGTACTCTATCAGTTATATGTTTTGGCCTTGGGTGAGTGGTGCCTAAAATCAATACCTTTCTCGTGTTTCAATATGTATCATAACTTGACAGTAAATATCAGAAACTATTTAAGTTTTCAGGACAGAAAATGTAATGCAGGGTGAGAAAATGAAGAATCAAAATCCCAAACTGTAATTATCAATAGCCCCTCGATATTAATAACTTAAATAATAAATAGATTACTATACCGATTTAGAGTGGCACAGCTCTTTAGCCTTCTCTATGACCCTGGCAGCTATTTTCTTCAGATCAGTGTCCACATATGGAAGAATTTCAGAGCCTCCTGCAATTAGTAAAATCAGAAAACCAATTCTTATTCTGAAAATAGAAGACAGATATACATACACTAGGCAGTAAGCACATACACAATTTGAAAAGCAAAGATAAAATCAAGCATATTTACAATCCTCTTCTAGAACTTTGAATCTCTATATGCATGTTGTATTCTCCCGATAATAACTTTCAATCAATTGTATAGGCGTAATGATATTACCCGGACCATCACTCGATCCTAGATAATACGTCAAATCTACTGGAGTTTTTTCACCCATCTTTGTTCTGCTTAAATTATGTTTTGATTAAATTATGTTTTGATTAATTTGTGTGTGTTTAATTTCAGATTTTACTCAAGGCAAAAAAAATTAATCTCAAAGTCTTGTTCTTCTCATTCACCATCAATCAAATATTTATACACATAACTTAGAAACCTTATCAACATCGGAATCTAATTAATCTATCTTAGCACATATTTAGGAAATATTATCCTACCTAAAGATAACACAATATAATCACAAAGATATATCAAATATATTCCCTAAAATATACTATCTTATCTTAACACCATTTCTTCTCGAACGGCAGCCATGACAGACACAAGCTCATACAAGACAGTATATTGTAATTCTGTAAGACTGTGTTCTGATGAAGTGATGAGCTCATGAACTTAAAGAAAATAACTATGAAATAGTCAACATTATGATATAGTTGTTCAAGTAAGATCAGAAATACCCACTAATAAGCTGGGCCTAATATATACAGTACCTTTTGAACTTGCAGTTTACCAAGATATATTTTTTATTTTTTTTGGCTCTGTCTACAGTCCCAAAATTTTGATAAGAACACGAGACGTTCATATTAAGATGTCCAAATCCTTGGTATATTAATTATGACTTTTTAGATTTACTCGACACTAGTTTGCATCCATATACCTAAATTTACCTCCAATTTTCATTCCAACCTAGCCTCATAGTTTTGCGGGGACCAATTCAACAAGTGTAATGAACCTAAGGTTCCACAAATTAAACAAGAAGAGCTTATTTATCTTGGAAAGACATACCTTGAATCCTCAATAATTTAACTGCTACTGAAACACAACCTTTTTCTTATTTTATATACCGAAAACTTTATTAACCTACCATGAGACTTGATACTTGAGGTAATTCTCAAAAATCTATATGCAGAAATCTATAATATGGTTTTTCATGCAGCATCTTTTAATACTCAGTTATTGAATTACGCTGCAAAGACAGCAAATAATTCCCTCAGCAGTAGGTCTTGTAAACAATAAGTTATTACCTTAAATTATGATTGTACAGAAATCAACCCTTTACGAAATTAGCTTTTATGTGATTTGGGTGACTTAGTTTGTTGAATACGGAGTACAATAAAATGTTTTATACAAGTTTTTGCCTACAGAAATTGAGCATTCAAAGTTCTTGCCTTTCATGCAAAATCTGAGATTGGTAAAAAAAAATACCATATGACAGTAAAGGCTATACTGCTATACTTGAACACTCACATAGACATCGACACAAACAGGGCAAATTTGCATCCTTCACATTTTCACAATGGATCATTTTAAACCCTTACTACAATTTTTTTTTTCTTATGGCATCACGAAATCATTAGTCCTTAAAAATCAAGCAAGAGCCTGTTCTCATAGACTGAACTCAGCTGGATTGAACTGAGCTGAACTGAAATGAATATTTTATAAGAGAAGGAAATTCGAAGCTGAACTGAACTGAAAATAAACGTATGAGAACAGGCCTTTAATCTACATTTTTTTTTTGTTAAGCACAAGGACACAAAAGCTTAGATCTTACCCTCAAGAACAAATGTTCGGTTGAATATTCTTTTAACTACACATACAAGTTCTTATAATCACCATACCTTCATGTTCTTTTTAGTAAAACTTACAACTAATACACATCCTAGGCAGTAGCTTTTACTCATACTCTATGTAACCTCAATTATCCTTCAAATTTTGACATCAAATACAGAAATGGCAATTCAAAATCCTTCCAAATTTCACATGAATCATGCATAATACTTCCAAATTTCACATGAATCATGCAAAATCCTTCCAAAATTCACATGAATCATGGTGATAGTATCCAAAAACCTTCTCCCAACTCAAGCATCAATCTTATATAAGCCAAAATCTTAGCCAAAATCAATTAAAAAGCTAATCACAAACCCCACGACCCAGTTAATTTTTTTTTTTTTTTTTTCCTGTTGGGCCAATGCACTAATGATAGTCAATCCAACACGACAACACGACACGAACCCGACACAAAATGAATGGTTAAAAACACAATATAACAAAAACCCACAAACCACAACAATCACAAAAAGCTGAAAATCAACAAAAACCGAAAAACAAAATCAACAAAACAAATTAAAAATGATCAAATTAAAGAACATAAAAATGAATTTCATACCAGGACCAGCAAATCCAATAGCAGTAACAGGAGTAGGTTTAGAATGAATAAGATGAAGCTTAAAAGGGTAATTAGGAGCAAAAGGGGTAAAGAAATGATCAATTGCCCATTCCATTGCATAAAAACTCTGCTCACTATCATCAATTCCCACCAACATAATCGGTTTTTCAGACATAGTAGCCATTGTTAAAACCTCAAATTTTCTCTCCTAATTTCAGGTTTAATTGTAAGAAACTATCAAAAAACCAAGAATATTTAAAGAAGAATTTGAGAGAGACTGAAGAAAAAAAAGGTGATTATGCTTTTTTATCTTAGCTTTATACAAGTTGTAATAGTAGTGGTATTGTGAAATATCTGGTGTTGCAGAGTTGCAGTTCCGTAGGAGGATCGAATACTGTCACAGGGTCTGATTTGATAATATATGTTTTGCTTATCTTTCTTTTTTTATTTATCACTGTTATGCGCCATGATTGTAAATTTACATCGTCTAATCTAGTACAGTACCTATCTTGCCAATCATGGATTTTGGACCCCTATTTTTACTTTGTTGTGCCTTTCGTGGACGTCTCGTAAGTTGTGTCCTTCATCGGCCCAGACTTAGACCGGATTGAATCAGATCAAAGATTAGAAGTAGAGGCTCGGGGTCAAGACCAGTTATGCTAAGAGGATTAGAAGGGCTAGAACTATACTCGAACCAAATGTTATACTACTCAGCAAAAAAAAACAGAAATTACTTATCTCTTGATGCGTGAACCAAAGTGACAATAGCCACGTCGTGGAGAACCACTGACCTAAAAGACGATTCCGCGCTACCTCCCGGTGCAGTAGACTAGAAGTGGTCGCCCTCCAGGATAAGCACGGCGCCGGAGTTTATGTGCACTCACAAACCCTACTGGAACTCAGAACACTTGCCCAGAAAACAGAACAGAAAGAACTCGTGTTTAGATAGTTTTAGTGATGAGAGATAACTGATTGTGTTGTGTGTTCTTGACTGGGAAAAGCAACTAGTATATATAGGCAGTAGAAGGGAGACATGAAACGTAAAACGAGGGACGAATCTGGCTAAGAAAACGACCAGATTCATTCAACCAGTCAACAACGGAAGCAAGAAACAAGGAATTAATCAGTCAGCTACAATCAAGGGATTAATGACTGACTTAATTCCGTAATCCCAACAGTCAGAAAAGAATATTCCCAACAGACAAAAAAGAATATTATGTTTAACAAAGAAAAGGAAATAAAATTTCTCCAAAAAGATAACAAGGACCCACGCCCGCGCATTCCCCAAGACCCAAGTCCCGAGGCCCGAGCCCGACCCGACTCGGCGCGCGCGCGTGTGTGTGTGTGGAGTAACACTTACCTCCCACTCACTCAACTAAGTAGTGTTAAGACACTACAATATAAAAACAAGGAAAAACCTTTCCCCCCAACCAATGTGGGATTTTCCCCTTTCATTTGTTTTTCTCTCTCTCTTGTTTTTCCCCAACTTTCTTATTTTATATCAAGAAATTCCAACAATCCCCCATAGGTTCGAAGATATGAAAAAGAAAGGAAGGAAAAGATGAATTCTGGGCAAAACAAAACAATTGCATAAGTGTCAATGTCTCGCGACTTGAATTAACACATAGTGGACATCAAGCTACGATCCCTCACCTACCAAGTGACTTTCGTCTTGAACTCAATAGGGAGTTAGGGCCCCGTCACTTTGAGCCACACAATTGAACATGTATAATATTCTGAAATTCCGCGAATAAAGATGACGCATTATACTGGTCATACGTCCGGCCTGGATGCTCATAGGTGCTCTAGAGTATAAGCCCACGAAATACTCATAGGAAGCGGCCACACTTCCACACCTAAGTAGGTGAACTCCAACACACCTCCAAAAATATGGATATGGGTTCATTAAGAGCCATATGCTCAACCTCCTTCTCATTTGTAGCTAAGCACAACAAACATCTAGAGATGGTCCAAAAAATAAAAACGTGCTTCCGAATTATTATATAATGTTCCCCTTTGAACTCATGGTGAGTAGGAGTTCACTATTTCACAATTCATACAACGAGCTTTAGCCCCATCTCTTCCGATATTTCCAAAACTAGTTTTTTACATAGGCATTTAGTTAACGGATCTGCAATGTTCTTTTCGAACTTAACATAGTCCAGTGATATCACCCCTTCAGACAACAAATTTCTGACGGCTTTATGCCTCAGACGGATGTGTCTCATCTTCGCATTATAGGCATGGTTGTGTGCAACAGCAATAACAGCTTGCGAATCACAATGAAGTGCAACTAAAGGAGCTGGCTTCCCCCACAGCGGAATATCTGCAAGCATGTTCCTCAACCATTCTGCCTCATGACCTGCCAATTCAAGAGCAATAAACTCAGATTCCATAGTAGACATAGCAGTACAAGATTGCTTACAAGATTTCCAGGATACAGCTCCACCACCAAGGGTGAAGACATAGCCACTAGTGGAGTTAACTTCATCATTATTGGATACCCAGTTGGCATCACAAAAACCCTCCAAAACTCCAGGAAATTTGGAATAGTGCAAACCCCAATCCATAGTACCCTTAAGGTACCTAAGCAACCTCCTTAGAGCAATCCAATGATCACTGCTTGGATTATGAGTGTACCTGCTCAACCTACTAACAGAATAAGCAATATCAGGTCTAGTGTAGTTCATAAGAAACATAACACTACCAATAATTCTAGCATATTCAGACTGATTAACTAGATCACCATTATTTTTCTTTAGGTGGAAACTTGGGTCATATGGAGTCTTAACTGGATCGACATTAAATGAGTCAAACTTTTTAAGAAGCTTTTCAACATAGTGTGACTGATTAAGACAGATGCCTTTTGGAGTCATTTTGATTGTTACTCCCAAAATCACATCTGCCTCACCCATATCTTTCATTTTAAAATTCGAACTCGAATACTGTTTTGTCTCATTTACTCGATCCAAGTCAGTCCCAAAAATCAACATATCATCCACATAAAGAAAAATAATTACACAACCATGACTATCATGCTTAAAATAAACACAAGATTCACCTTCATTAACATGAAAATCATTACCAGTCATAGTCTTATCAAATTTGTCATGCCATTGCTTTGGAGCTTGCTTGAGCCCATACAATGACTTGACTAACTTACAAACCTTGTTCTCTTGGTCTGGAACAACAAACCCTTCAGGTTGGACCATATAAATCTCCTCATCCAAGTCACCACTCAAAAAACGTAGTTTTGACATTCATTTGATGAACAACAAGATAAAAAATGCAAGCAAGAGCAATTAAAGTCCTAATGGTTGCGATTTTAGTAACAGGGGAGTAAGTATCAAAATAATCAATGCCAAACTTTTGAGTAAAACCCCTCACTACTATCCTTGCCTTATACTTGTCTATGGATCCACTAGCCTTTAATTTTTTCCGAAAGATCCATTTACATGTAATGGGCTTACAACCTCTAGGAAGTTCAACCAATTCCCAAGTGTTATTATTGAGAATTGATTGTAATTCACTATCAATTGCTTCTTTCCAAAAAAACAGTATCAACTGACCTCATTGCCTCATCATAGGTTCTTGGATCATCTTCCAAAACAATTATATGCACAAAATCATCATCAATTAAGGAAGATTCAGATAAATAAGAAGTAATAAAATCAGGACTAAAACTGTTTTCCTTTCTTTCCCTTTTGCTTCTCCTTGGCTCCAAAATAGAATCACTGTTAGTAATAGGAGCATTGGCAATAGGTAAACTAACATAACTACTAGTATGTAATCCACTATCATTAGAAGGAGACATTTTTAAAGGAAAAATATTCTCAAAGAACTCAGCATCTCTCGCTTCAATGATATGGCCACCTGCATAAGAGTCGTTAGCACCTTTAACAAAGAAACGATAAGCAGCACTTTGATAAGAATAGCCAATAAAAATAGCATCAGCAGTTTTGGGACCAATTTTATCCCTCTTGAAACTAGGTATGCCTACTTTTGCTAGGCACCCCCACACTTTCAAGTATTTTAGATTCGACGCTCGACCCTTCCATATTTCGTATGGAGTCTTGTCAAGCTTCTTGTGAGGAATCCTGTTCAAAACATGACAAGCAGAAAGAATAGCCTCTCCCCACATGTTATTAGGAAGCCCAGAACTAATAAGCATAGAATTCATCATATTCTTTAAAGTTCTATTTTTCCTTTCAGCTATACCGTTTTGTTCGGGTGAATAGGGAGCTGTTGTCTCATGAACAATGCCAAGTTGCTCACAAAATGTCTCAAGAGTGTCAGGGTTGTACTCATCACCCTTGTCACTCCTAACCCTCTTAATCTTTTTGTCCAATTGGTTTTCTACCCGAGCTTTATATTTGAGGAACATTTCCTCAGCTTCGTCCTTAGACCTGAGAAGATAAACCATACAAAAACGTGAGCAGTCATCAACAAAAGTAATGTAATACTTTTTACCCCCTCTACTTTCGTGATTGTTAAAATCACCCAAGTCACTATGAACAAGCTCTAGTACTTTAGTCTGTCTATCTACTGATTTAAATGGATTCTTTGTAAATTTGGCTTCAACACAAATTTGGCATTTCGAAAAATCAGTGTTAGAAAAACTTGGAATCAAATTTAAGTTTTTAAGCCTTTTAATAGAATCAATATTAACGTGACCTAATCTAGCATGCCATAAATCAATAGACTCAGCAATATAAGCAGAAGAAGTACTAGCATTATTATTCATAGTGTCAATTTTAACATCAAGAGTAAAAATCCCCCCATTACAAAAGCCCTTTCCCACAAATTCCCCATTGCGAGTAAGAACTAATCTATCAGAATCAAAAGAGAGCTTCAGCCCAGCTTTCATGAGTAAACTGCCAGAAATTAAATTCCTGCGCATTTCTGGAACATACAAAACATTAGTCAGAGTAAGCAATTTTCCAGAAGTGAGAGTGAGAACGATCTTCCCTTTGCCTTGGATAGAAGCAGAAGCTGAGTTTCCTATGAAAACATTTTCACCTTCAACCTTGTCATAGGTAGTGAACATGTCCTTGTTGGCGCAGATGTGCCTGGTAGCAGTGTCAACAATCCACTCAGCAGTATTACCTGTAAAGTTAGCTTCTAAAACAACAACAACAATAACGTCAGAATCCTCAATAAGATTTGCTTGACTTTGCCCATTGTTCTTCTTCTTGACCCTACAATCCTTAGCCTTGTGACCAGTCAAACCACACTCAAAACAAGTACTCTTAAACTTGTACTTCTGAACCTTCCCTTTAGGCTTAAGAGAACTGTTATTGGCTTTGGACTGGTTGTTGTGTTTGGGTTCAACAAGATTGGCTTTGGCTGAGGAAGAGGAAGGAAAAACAGAAGGGGTTTTGTCTTTGATACGGTTTTCCTCCTCAATTTTGA